GGGTCCTTATAAACATGGACTTTTTGTTTTTATGATATCAGTTCACTAACTTCAACAAATACTAGTGACCTACAGAGAGGTTCTTTTCCTCACCAGTCTTTACCAGTGCTAAACAGTTCACCTTTTGAGGAATTATGTGTATTTGTGAGGTTTTTTTGTTCCTCCAAACACAAATTGTCACATGATTTAAACAACTACATTAATTGTTAGCACTGATATGATATCAAACCATTTGAATGTCAAATAAAATTCTTCCATAAATTCAACAGAGACCAAAAGAACTGTTAGACCCTGCAGAAATTAGTTTTGTCAGAAAATGTTAAAATATCCCTTGTCTGTATTTATCAAGGAATTTCTCACATCTGTTTGCAGTGTGTGAATGGCTTGCATTATGTTTTAAAAAGACAAACCCAAGTCATTCAGCTTCCGAGTAAGGTAATTATTTATCAAGCACTTTAGTAAAGTAATCATATTGTACTAAATCCATATTTTTCTTTTTGGCAGTAGAGTTTTAAGTTTGCATGCTGATAATATATTAATGACATTAATATATTGAAAAATACTTAATAACCATTTATTAAGAGCTGTGGGATATAATAATTAATAAAATATTAATTATACATAATTAATAACATATATTTAAAGCATCTATTGCAACTCAGCAGTGAAAATACTTTTCAATACCATTCATCTCAGCACCTGCAAGTAAACATCTTCACATTTTTAGTAAGAAAAAGTACTGATCAATGTATAATCCACCAGAAATATTCAAAAGGTCCAGCTGGCTTGAGGACAAGAGTAATTATCTAACCCTAATCTTTACTACCAATCAAAAGGCTAGCCAATAAAATGAATTATACTTAATTACTATGCATGGTCATTAGCAACCATGACAATTTCACACATCAAACAAGCATATACTCACTGAAATACTGCCAACTTTATCACCTTGACAATTCCAAGTATGCCAGAGGATTTACACAATGAGAAAACCTCACCCAAATCCCTCACTACCTGGGTAGATTTTAGCATATCTGTTTGACTGAGTCTTACTTACATAAAAAAAAGGAGACTGAGTTATTTTAGTAGACTTGCTTGGCAGACTTGATAGGGTTAATTTGACATGCCTCTGTGCTGGTTTTGGCTGGAGTAGTTTTCTTCACAGCGGCTGATTTGGGGCTTGGTTTTGGATTTTTGTGCTGAACAAGGGGTTGATAATGTAAAAATGCTTTTGTTGTTGTTGAGCAGGACTTACACAGAGCCAAGGCCTTTTCTGCTTCTCCTGCTGCCCTGAGTGTATGGGAGTGCATGGGAAGCTGGGAGAAGACACAGCCAGGACAAGTGACCCCAACTGACCAAGGAGATACTCCAGAACTTATGGCATCATGTCCAGTATACGATGTGGGGGGGAGAAGGAGGAAGGGGGATGTTTGGAGTGATGGCATTTGTTTTCCCAACAACCATTACGTGTGATGGGGCCCTGCTCTCCTGGAGATGGCCAAACACCTGCTTGCCCATGGGAAACAGTGAAATAATTCCTTCTTTTGCTTTGCTTGTGTGCACAGCTTTTGCTTTCCTTATTAAACTGCCTTTATCTCAATAGTTTTCTAGTTTTTTCACTCCAAGTTCTCTCCCAGATTCCACTGGTGGGAAGACAGCAAACACCTGCATGGGGCTTGGTTGATGTCTGGAGTTAAACCACAACAGCCTCTTATGATGTCTCTCAACTTCTCATAACATGGAGTATATACAAGGTGTAAGAGGTGAATAAACATGCTGGTGAACTGTTCTTTTAAGGCATTCTTGGTTGTGTGGTAATCCCTGCTCTCGATATCGTTAGTGATGTACTTTTAATTTTTAGATTGATCTATTTGTGCATTTGCCCCGTTTCCTATGTTTAATAGATTTGTTATGATTAAAACAAATTACAGATGTGGGAAGGTCTGTTACTGGAAGGTCAATAGTAAAAATGTCACTCACAGAACTGTTTCCATGGCTTCTCCAGCTACAGCAGTTGGGTTTTGTTTCAGTACAGTCATATGTGGACAATTTCATTCCTGTGCTCTTACTATCACTTAGTAAATGGTTGCCCCGTTTCCTATGTTTAATAGATTTGTTATGATTAAAACAAATGACAGACATGTGAAGGTCTGTTACTGGAAGGTCAATAATAAAAATGTCACTCACAGAACTGTTTCTGTGGCTTCTCCAGCTGCAGCAGTTTTGTTTGGTTTTTTTTTTTCAGTGCAGTCATATGTGGACAATTTAATTCCTGTGCTCTTACTACCACTTAGTAAATGAAGCTTCTGGTACAAATTCAAAGTTAATTGCAGAGAAAGGCAAGTTTGGGGCTAGAGACCAGTTATCTGTGCATACATCAGTCAGGAGAATAAGTTTCTCTTTGACAACAAAATTCAATGTTTTGGAACACTGGGACAAAACTGAGACAAAGAGCCACACACAAATACTTAATTTCAAAACGCTAAACAATTCTCTAAAGGAATGATCAAATCTAGCTGGCAGTGAGTGGAATGCAAGCTATCCTAAATCACTTTGTGTTCCCCAAGACCCTTGTCACTTTACCACATCCACTCTTTACCTCAAGATAGCAATGAGCTGTAACATTCCATTACCACACCAAAGCATCTAATTTAGGTATATAAATTATTAATCATCACTGTCATTTTCATCACTTATAGAATGATAACTGGCTGCTCCTTAGGTCATTTCAGCATAAGAGCAAGGAAGTCAGTGTTTTCACGCTTGCATAAGCACGTGCTTTGGAAACAGGCTCCTCCTGTCAACTTACAGCTTACGAAGTTCTGGTTGCAACACCACTCCTCACCAATGTTGCTCACATTGAAATGTCATCATAATAAACAAGCATCTTCCCAGGTTTGTTTCATAACCAGGAATTCATTGCTGAATCATCTCAGCTTCCCCTCACCGTAATCTGCTGCTTTTGCCATGTAATTACTGATTACAGCATGGGACACTTGCAGTTAGGTTACCCGCCTATTTTGCATTTCTTGGCACCTTGTTTGGAGCCACAGTGCACTGAGGTTTTGAGATCTGCCTTCATCCTCAGTGGGGGTATTTCAGCTTCCCCTTTTGCTGGCACCTACATAGAGTATTCAACAGTTAACTGTGCATGGAAACATACCCCTTCCATACAGCTGTCTACACTGACAGCATACAGTCTTACACCATATTTCTTGGTGTAAATGACACCAAATTTTGTGAGCTATCATTTTATCTCAGCTTAACAGAAAAATATCTTATGAATTCCCATATACTGTAATCTGAATGGTGTATACAACACAGAGGTGTACATCTGAGCACACTGTGAATTTATTCCATTTCTTTCGTTTTATGACTTGACAATAAACAAGGCCTCTAATGTAACTCATTTGAAATGCAAAGAACACCAACTCAGTAGTCTTCTCTTCATTGCCTTTTTACATAAACAATATGTGGAAGACATCACGGTGATTGATACAAGCTGATGCCGCAGGAGAAGCACATTCTTACGGACCTAAGTATGTGTGTGGCTTTCTGTTCAAAAATATTCATGATACAGTGGTGTAGGGCTGTACTTTTCAAGTTGGATAACTCATGTATGGGAAACTGAGGACCCATACAAGTAATTTTAAAGGTGTGAAATTATAATCAGAGGATTCACTGTTTTAGGGGCCACACTTATGATCATCACCTGCCTTTTCGCTCCCTGCCCGACAAGCTGGAGAGCAGTAATTTATGATATAAATTGAGAAATGTTTAACTTTGTACCTCCAGCGAAGTAGCCACAGAGGAAAAAGAGAGCGTTTGCTCTCCGAGCGCTCGGCCGGGTGGGATGGAGCGGCCAGCTGGGATGGGGCCAGTGGTGCCTTCCCGCTGGCCGGGCCGGCCGGGCAAGGGAGGGCCACCGACGTGGCACCAGCAGCAGCAGCAGCGGGATGTCCCGAGGTGGGCGAGGCCGCTGCCGCCCAACAGGTGCCCTCGGGAAGGCGCCCAGCTAGCCTGAGCCGCAGAGCCGGGTGGCCCCGCCGGCATCCCGCACCCGCCCAGCCGGGAAGCGCCGCCCGCCCGGGCCCGCACCCCGCACCTGCCCGGCCGCCCCCGCACGGAGCCAAGCCCTCGGGACGGGCTGGGCAGGGCCGGGACAGCCCTGGTCCCGGCGGGCAGGCAGTGCGGGACAGTCGGGAGCCGGCCGTGAGTGCGGGGGGACCGGGGCCGGGGAGGGGGCGAAGATGTGGCTGCTGGGGCAGGGCCGGGAGGGCGCCAAGGGGCCGGGACGGGTCGGGTCGGGTCCGATCGGGTCCGATCGGATCCGAGACGAGCCGACGGGATGGCGCGGGCGCTCCTTCTCCTGAGCCTCTCCTGCCCCGTCCCAAACACTGTAAAGGCAGTGGTGCAGCCTAAAGCAGGATGAAAAGCAAGGCTCCTAAGTGCCAGGGCCAGGCTTTTCCCTGCGGCTGGCCGGTTGCTGGCAAATGGGAATGCGTGGTGCGATTTCGGCCGCACGGCACTGGAAGAGGCACAGGGTGTGGGAATGTTCCAATTGCCTGGCTTCCGAAAGAGGTCACGTTTCCTGCTAAGGGCACCTTCCTTCCTAAGGGTGATATCGCACCAGTGTGTTCAGTACTTTTTTGTTCAGCTAGCTTCACCTTGCTGCGAAAACAAAGTGCTATTGCTGTAACACACCTGCCTAAAATGTATGTTACTGAACGTTTTTAAAACCAGAGTTGAAAGGTGAGGAACCTGGGATAAAACAGGTCTGTAGGATCTAGAGGAAGACAGTTGCTTTAATCCTACTAGTAAGGTAGCTTTCACAAAACAAGTCTTTAATAATGTATTTTGTATCTGCACAGAAGAACACTGCAAAGGAACTTGCTGTTTGAAGGTCAACCTCTTCTTTTTTTCAGTCAATATCCCGCTGTTGTAATGTATTGTGTTTCTGGGTTTGCACAACAGAAGAGTGGTGCTTGTACCTAGAAATCATGTTCAACTTCAGATGCATCAAGAAGTTACTACAGTACCTGAAATTTTTTATTTTTTTAATTATCGAGAACATCTTCTGTGTATTTTCTTTCCCCAAAAAATATTTTGCTGGTGAAATTGTACTTATTACTGGCTCTGCAAATGGGATTGGAAGGCAGGTTGCCTTAAAATTGGCCCCTTTGGGAGTAACCTTGGTTCTTTGGGACATTGATGATGAAGGTAACAAAGAAACAAGCAGATTGGCCCAACAAAATGGAGCCAGCCGGGTGTTTGTCTACCACTGTGACTGCAGCAGGAGGGAGGATATCTACGAACAGGCAGACAAGGTAAGATCTGCTTTTTTGCTTCTTTTTAATAGAATATCCTATTGAATTTATTGTTTCTTTAGAAACCATCCCTAGAGGGAAGTAATCATGTAGGGAAATGTCTTTCTCCTTTTGAATAGTTTCTAGATAGAACTTAAACTATGGTTGCAACAAAGTAACTGGGTTTAATAAGTTCTGTTGAGATTTATCCATTTCTGTTCTTCATTCTAATATGGTAATGTTTAGATTAAGAGTGTGGTAAAACCTGCAGCAGAGGTTATCTCCATATATTAACCTATATAGGCTTTATAGTTTCTTTAAGATATCAATAAATAATTTTAAAAGAAAAGAACAATCAGTGGACATTGTAAAATGGGGATTATTTCCCTTTCCTATTTGTTTAGAAAGGAAACTATAGTTCTTTAAGGGTGATGTGTGATGTAATGTTTTCAGACATGTCATTGGGCTAGTCTCCAGTCAAATTGATGATTCAATTTCAGTTATTTTTTAGATCAATACAGGTGGAAAATAAGGTAAAGAGCTCCATTTTCAAGGAAACTCTTCTGCTGTGCTGACCTATGCCTTGTAAACTATTACCTTATTAATATCATTGTCAGAGTTCAGGATTTGGACATTGAATTAACATGGTTAATTTTTACTTTTTCTTAAACTGCCTGAAAATGCTTCTCAGTGTAACTTCACTTATAATCCAGTTAGCCACTCTGCAAACTTAATTCAAGTGTAAACTTCTGTTAAATTCTCAATGTATGTGGTTATATACACGACTTTAAGGTCACAGCTGTGACATTCTGTGTCTGAAGGCCTACATCAGAGAAATTAGCTAAATTATTTTATTATGTGAATGTTGATAGATTGTTTCAGAATAGACCTGAAGTGTAACACTACTTTTCTATGAGTTGTGGGTGGAAAGGTGGGGACATGGGGGGGCTCAGCTCTTTGTTTTGTGGTTGTTGTTTTTAATTTTAACCAAATCAGATTAAGTCTTTCTGAGCAAGGTAATGAAAGTTTGAAACACATTTTTTCCTCAAGAAATGTTCTTGAGGAAAAGTACTTTTAAAAGGTAAGTTGGATTCAGGATCTGTAAGTATGTGGAGCTGCAATTCTCATGCTTTCAAATCGTCAAGGGTTTCTTATACCCATACTCATAAGTAGCACGTGGGCCACAGCTCACTCACACTGTAGATAAAAAAATGAACATTTTGAAATTATTTGTTTGCTCTTACTTTAGAAGAGCCTCAAAAGGTTTGCTCTGTGCCCCTCAGTAATTTTCAATCTCCAAACACATTAACCAGATCAGCCACAGGACTCCAGCCTGTGGAATTTGCTGTGCCCAAATCAGCAAACATCATTCTGGAGTGCACAGATTGACCTGCCAACAGAAACTTAAAGAGCAGTTCAAAATTTAAAAATTGCTGTTAAGGTGTCAAATTATTGTTAACAACACCAACATATTCACACATATTTGCATGTATTGTTCAGTCCTGGTGGAGATAGAAGTTTTCTTACATGAAGAGTTTTTCAAATATCGGCCTCCTCTACTGTTGGAAATACCTGCAAATTTTTTGGTTTGTGATATGAAAAGACTTGACCTTGGACACAGAAGAGAAAGCAATAGCAAGGAAGTTAAATTAGTTGGTTTTATTTTATATACTCATTGTTGCAAAGCATAAGTATTTTCCCATAAATGTAAGTTTTGTTTCTTGGAAACAAATAAGATCATTGGAGTCTCTAAAGAAGAAGTTTCAGAACAAGCTTGTCAAGTGAACAACAACTAATTTTCAGGAACAAGAGGTGTCCACCTGTGAATTCTGAAGGAAATCAGACATGGATCTGGTGGGCTAGAAATGCAGAATGTGTGTTTTGCTATAACAGATGATCAAGGAACAAAGCATAGTAAATGTGCAATTCTTAAAAGGCACTTGAGAGGACACAAACACACTATGAACCTGTGTTACAGAAAACTAGTAGAAATTATGTTAACAGAAGAATAAACAGACACCTAAAAATATACATAATGTAGAATAATCATCTTGACTTTTTCTAAATGGAAGCCAAGCTTCACACATATTTTGTAGTAATGAGTAAACAGGACGACCAATGCCATGGTGAATAAAATGCTGCCATTGGTGAAGATATGTTGTCATGTTAAGAAAAAGAAGATCATCATATGGACTGACACAGTAGTTAAAAGAGTGGGGAGAAAGTACAGATGTGTGCCTCAAAGGAAGAATTGAGTTATCCTGCCATACTGAACAGTGTCTAGATTTGCATTCATTTATGAAGGTGGAAAGGTGCAAGTGTGTGAGCCCTACTTGTCAATGAGAAGGCTGAAACCTGACACAGCTGGAGAAATGTCAAATCTTCACTGAATGCTAAAGTTTCCTGAGAGAGCCAAAGGAAGGTCAAATGTTGGGGCACCAGATCCACTCACCTGTTTCCAAATTGCCAGAGAGCAGCTCATGTAGGATTTTAATGTTTTTGTAGCCATAACATAATTTTTGAGACCACAGATAATCATCCACCTTTAGTAGAGAAATCTGTGAGGCTGATTCTTCATACTATAAGTAAATCTTGGCCATCTCCTTTGATACAAATCCAAATCATGGCACATAATCTTTTGAAAACAAACCCAAGTGAAGCTAATGATCATTTTATCTATTTCATAGTAGATGCTGTTGTGTTCAGATGATGGTATCTCCCAGTTATCTGAGCTGAATTCCTTCCAGTTCAGTGGAAATTATATGGAAAAGGGGGGGTAGGCTTAGCAGAGGAATACAGGTTCTCACAATACCAAAAGTAGGGGACTGGAAGTGTCCTGATTGCAGTTAAAGTGTGCTCGTGGTGCATACTAAAGCTGCATAATGTTTTACCTTTCATTTCTGTGGAAACCAAATGTATTCTGGAGTTCAGGGAGCAATTAGACAAATTTGGGGAAGAGGGCAGGGTGGAGAACCACTGGGATATATTAAAGACAATGATATAGATATCTTATACCTCTCAAAAGATCCTAAACTGCAGCATGTGAAAAGTTGAGCACATGGGAGCCGTTAGAGCCAGGTCCTTTTTTCATTGTTTTCCACCATAAAACAAGGCCTGGGGGGCTTAGATGGACCTTTGATCTGATGCAATGCAACAGTTCTTGCATACTTATGTTTTCATGCATATCAATTATTGAAAATATTACTAAACATTTTCATAAATGCAGCACAAGAGGCAAGGATACCTTCTAAAGCTTTCTGTTTATCCTTTCTGGTTTTTCTAAAATTCAGGTTAAAAAAGAAATTGGGGATGTTACTATTCTAATCAATAATGCTGGCATACTGATTGGGAAAAAGTTCTGTGAGCTTACAGATGAAGACTTTGAAAAGACCTTCAGAATCAACTTCTTTTCTCAAGTCTGGGTAAAGTTTTTGTGTGTTTTTTACTCCTGAGTGACCAAAAGGTACAGACAAGTGTTTTGGTGTGAAAACCACAATGGTGGCATCTACCTTAAAATCTCAGCTGGGAATAGGGATGTGAAGGGCCTTGATTGGGGAAACAAATGTTTTCATGATCATCCTGTAATTGGAGACAATCTCCCCAGTATGTCTCAGTAAAGTTAAGAGAAACCTGCCTGGGCACTCTGGTAAATCCAAGTTTGTGCAGCCGTATCATGAAACACACCCTACCTGAAACAGCTGTGGTTGAAAGGAGAGTGCTGACATGATGGCATGTGACTTCCCTGCTCCTGATGTTTCCAAAGCGTGTGAAGGCTTTGCCTAAGAGACTTGCAGCACTCAGGGAGACACAACCATGGTTTACTGGCAGACTTAGCAGTGGTACATTTAGAGTTGGATTCAATGATTTTAAAGGTCTCTTCCAGCCCAAATGATTCCATGATTTTATGCTGCACATGTTGCCCTTCAGGCTGTGCTTTCATTCCTGGTCACCATCTGATTGAAGTGCATAGAAAACGAATCTGGCTAGTAAGAATTTGTTTTGGTTTTTTTTACCTCTGGAGGAATTTGCAGTTATTTGGGGTCTCAGTAGATTTAGGAGAGGTTTTGTTTGGTTTTTTTTTGTTTTTTTTGTTTTTTTTTTTTTTTTTTTTGTGAGAGAGTGTTACTATTGCCCCCTCTTGCAGTTTTTGTTTATATGCCTGAGTGAACAGCCTGAATCAGGGAACAATGTATCATTGCACCTCCTTTGTTAAAAGGCATTCCTCAATGGAAAATCATTGCAGATAGAAGTTGTCTAAGAATTCCCCAGTCACACTGCATCATTCTTCCAAACACTTGAGGAAAATGGACTGGGAGAGGTGTTCCCCCTGACAGGTCTGAAGAAACCCAGGGTAGAAGGATATCAATGTACCAAGCACTCACATCTGGAGTTTAATAGAATTCCTTAGCTATTGAAAAAAAAATTGTTACTGCTCGGGTCTCATTTTTATATCTCCCCCTTTGTAAAACACTAGCATTCTTCCCAGTTATCATCACCCACAGTGGTGTCCTGGAGTGCTGGAATTGCCAGGCAGCTCGGCTGATAACAAAAAGGACCCACAGACAGCTGAACTCTCCTTAGTGTGTTGACGTCTAGCTCCCTCTTGTGTACCAAACCTTTAGCAATAGACAAATTGTGAGGAATAGGGAAAGCAGAGAAAATACAAACTTTGCTGCTTTTAATAAGATGCTTTTAATGCTGTTAGATCTTCAGGCAGAGGGCAGTCATTCAAGGAAATGCTGTCTCTCGTTTAAAAATTGTTACAGAAATAAAATGTTGTTTGCACTTCTTGTATATTGAAGACCCAGAGAGCAGGTCAGGTTGTACTGCCTAATTTTGGAGAAACATTTTTGTTATGCCTATTTATAAAGGAGATTTTAAAATAAATGTATTTATATTCTTTTAGACTTGCAAGGCCTTTCTTCCAGCCATGGTGGCCTGCAATCGTGGGCACCTGGTTAGCACAGCCAGTGCAGCCGGAGTACTGGGACTCTACAGGCTGTCAGGTAATTATTGTCAAGTGCCACTACAAAGCAGATCTACATACTAATCACTTTTCTTGGATGCTTCATAAATGCTTGGCTTAAGCTGCCTGGACTGATAAGAACCTGTGGTGCCAGAAGTGATGGTGTGCTGACGTGGGATGGCATCGTGTGCCTGAGCGACACAAGGAGCTCTCTGCAGGTTTTGCTGTCTGCTTACAGACTATCTTTTCTCCACACAAGAAGGACAATTCAGCTCGTACAGGTGCAGTGGGAGGGAACCCTGCATATATGTTGTCTAATGTTTTCTCATGACAGCTTTTCTGAAGGTGAATGTTCAGAGACCTGAGGCACACAAGGGTTGTGCCTGAAAATACACATTCATTTGGTTTATCAAGTGCAGAAGGCATTCTGGCAGAATTTTAAATAAAATTAATTTGAATTAAGTATGGTTTAAGCTATTTAAAGCTCACTATTCTCAGCTGTTTCCCTCAGGAGAGCAGTCTGCTAGTCTAGCCTATTTTATCAATCTGGGTCTGCTTCCCAGTCTCTCCTCAAGCCTCTCTTACATGGTGACTGTATCTCTGAGGTCACCCTATGAGAACTTGAATTTCAGTGTAATAAGAATTTCTTGTTTTTTCTGCTGATTGATGGTGTTACTGTAGTGTTTATTTGCCACCTGTTACCTAGGGGTTACCTTAATACATTATCAGTATTTGGTATTGATAATACAAGTCACATTCAGCTTTCATCATATAAAGCTTATGGCAGTGGGCCTTCCCATCCATGCATTATAACCTCTTACACCTTAGATATATATTTTTAGGCTGTGTGGTTCCATCATTCACTGCAGGTGAACTCCTGAAGAATAGCAAACTACTTCTGATGCCAGTCTTTGGAGTCAATCTTTTAGCAAAATTGGATTTCATTGCATCTAGCAACTATTTTCATACACATTTGAGAAGGTTTTAGGAAATTACATGTAAGGTACTGCATTAAATTCATTTCTAACAACTGGAAAACTGAAGAATAATTTGTGTGGGAAGCAATCTGTGAAGGTCACTTGCTCCATATCCCCAGATAAAAACAGGTCCAGCTTAGGTTAGGTTGCACAGGGCTGTGTGAGGGCAAGTTTTGATTATCTCCAAGGATGGGGTTCCATACATTCATCAAAAAATAAAAATCAGATGAAGTTCAGTCTTCCTGGGCAAACAAAATAGTATTTTAGTTGCAGGGCAAATCAGAAGTAATAGGCTGAAGCAGCATTTAAGAAAGGTATTTTTATTTTACCACTATAAATAGTTCTCTCTGAAATGTAGCCTGTGATATTAAAGTTGAAGACATTCTGAACTGAAAGAATGCCTGGTTGGTATATGAGTATCTGGAAATTTACAGAAAATGCTGAATAAGCTCATTTGCCTATATCTTTCCATAGTGCACTGAAAAGAAAAAAAAAAAACTCCTCTGAAAAGGATTTATTTTATCTTTAGGGTACTGTGCATCATTCATGGGAAGAGGCATTAATCTCCAGAGCTGGATCACCAATATGCTTTAAATACTAATTACAAGACTGCCAATGATAGAACTAAATAATATTGTGGCTCAAATAGTATCACAAATAATTCAGTTCTGTATATAGCTTTTACTGTGGTGCTTTTAAAATTTTGGATATTTCTATTTTCTTCCCTTTCTAGATTATTCAGCAAGTAAGTCTGCAGTCATTGCAATGATGGAAGCCATAAATTCTGAACTGTGTCATGGAGGAAAACGTGGCATTAAAACCACAATCATTTGCCCTTATTTTATTAGTACTAGGTTAAGCAAAGGCTTCAAAAGCGCGTAAGTAAAGCTTAGATTTGTATTATTTCATATACAAAAAATCATTGCCACTCACTGGGTATATCACATTCAGTTTTTGGCTGGTTGATTTGATTTTCAATTCAGTATTTTTGCCCTGTTGGCACAGACATAAAGAAATGCAAGTCTTGCATACAGTGAATAACAAGAACTGTGCAATAACCTTAACCTTGACCAGTCTTAGGCAAGGAACAGCTGGGGATACACAGCAGTACTTGAGGGTTAAGAGAACCTTATTTGTCAGGAGAGTGCTGGTGTTCTCTGCCCCAAGTAATTTTGGCAGTATAATTACAGTTATGGCTGTCAAGATACCCATGTCCTGTCCTTATTAAGTGTGTGCACTGGCAGGGACTGTACTTCTGAGTGAGAGCAGCTGTGGTGATGGTATCTGCTGGGTGGCTCTGTGGCTGCACTGATGGGAGAGGCTGCAAGCACCGAACCAGCCATTGCAGGAGTGCAGGACCAGTGATCTTGGTTTTTCAGCGCTCTGCTCCTGCTTGCACCATTCATCATCGTGCAGCAGCACGTGTGTGCAGAGCAGAGCCCTTCTTCTGGCTGGTGACAAGCCTGGTCCTGGTCTATTCAGCTGTCACCTCAGCATTTACAGCAGAAAAGGACTTCTGGAGAGCAATGATGCATAGAACAGCACATAGTATGGCTAAGTTTGGAAGTTTCCAGAGCTGCAATCAATGTGGGTATCAACCTCATTGTGGTCAGCTTACAAAAAAGTCATTAAATTCATAACATCATCAAAGTGTTTTCAATTTATTTTGATGATAGCGGGAACGAAAAGGTTTGGAGATTCCTTTTCAAGACTATGTGAGGGGAAGGGGGGAAATGCATAAATTATTCAATTATGTATGTCTGTGTATTTATCACCAAAGTTAAGTTTTATAATGTCATAACCCTTTTTTCTTGTTTTACAGAAAACCCTGTTTGTTTCCTGTTTATGATCCAGAGTATGCAGCCAGCAGGATCGTGGATGCAATTAAAAAGGAGAAACATTATCTGATCATGCCTCCAGCTGTATACTTGCTTGGTCTCAAAATGTAAGCACATGACTTGTCTTCTAGCATTACCTTCTTTCCTTTGCCACTAGTCTGTAAAATCAGCAGGAATGTTTAGTCAAAACAGTCCTTTAGTTAGTATTCCTGCAGTCAATCCAGTTATATGTACCCAATTTTAAAGAAACAGTGGGTTTGATTTTTTAATAATCTAGGTGAATAACATTCCTCTGGCCTCTTCTATCTCTAAGAAATGTTTTAAGCTGCAGTTGGGTATAGAAACTTCAAAAATTTTCCTGAGATGGTACACTGGGAGCAATGTCTGGTCTAGCCCTGTCTGCTTCCAGTCCCTGCTGCCACTGCAGGCTGGGCTTTCACAAAATGTCTTGGTTTGTCATTCATTTTCCCAATTTATAACATTGAAGTGCCAAATGTGTTGCTACCAGACATTAGAAGTATTAAGCACATATAATGTATTTGTCATTTCTTTATTTGCAGAGTACCTTTACCTAAAAAAAAAAAAATAAAAAAAAAATAGGCTAATTCAATGTTTGTCTCCTCAGTTTCCTTCCTAGAAAAGCAGTGCTATTCCTCGAGTCTTACGTTAAGTTTCCTGAGAGCATGGAAGAAGCCTTTGGTCAGAAGAAAAAGGATTGAAACAAAAAGTATTCTGAAGACCTCAAGCACTATCTAATTGAACATTTTCAGTAAAAAAATAATTTTAAATCCTATTTATTCCTTGACAAAAAAAAAAAAATCACTTATTTTGTGCTATTTTACATTGGTCAGCCTGCCATTTAATTCTTCACAACTGTCTTTTAAGCCTTTGTGTTGGCAATTTTCTGATAAACTTTTGAAAAATCACTAAAATCTAAAATTAATTAGGTTTTATGTTGAATGACCAAGCAACTTTGCATGGACTGTACTGTTTTCAGACTGAAGTTTCAATGAGGTATCCTGTTAGTGTGAAACACAATTCTGTTGTAAATCATGGGAAAATGAAGACAGGAGGAATACCTGGAAAATTACAGGTGAAATCTCTCCTTGTATTTGGAGAGAAGTCACACTCATGTTCTTCAACTGTCTTCAAACGAAATTACACTGTAAAGGTCCTAAAGGACAAAAAAATTCCCCAATAGCAGAAGTTTGGAGATTAGTTACACTAAATATGTGCTGGTACTTGATTGATAAAAATCAATCCTGATGTAAATTTTCAGAAAATGCTAACATTAAATGTTCATAATTGGCTTAATTTGAAAACAAATAAATAAACTGCATAGAAGAACAGTGAATCTACAAAGCCTAGTTTATAAAACCTGAAGGAATTACAGAGAATATTTAACAGAACACATTTGCCATCATAATTAAATTGTACTTAACTCATATTCACAAGCTCCCAGATAAAAATAGTTATGAGTATACACTATTGAAATCCCTGTTTCCAAAGTATGTATGCATTCAATAAATTCTTTCATGTACCAGTAGATATTACAGGGAAACTTTTCTCTGAGAGAAGAAAAAAGCTGTCTAAAGTTTGGCTCTTTGGAAAGCAAGGTTTATTGATTTATATTGTTTAAAACTCTCTAAATGATGAGAAATTAAATATTATTTTCTTCTTATTAATGAGACAGCAAAGTCTAAATTGCTTCCTGCAAATACCAATAATTTTCTCAATTGCAGGGAAATATGTTGAGTATTGGGATTCCCTTGTTCTGCATGAATGTTGCTATTTGGCTCTAGATCTATGATCATTTTTAAGTATGATTACAGCAGTCAATGCAAATTGACATGACATTATGTTTGGGCATATATTGAGAAGCCGAACATCTTAATGCATAATTTCATTGCTGGTGCTGCGGAGCTTAAGAGCAGGGCTCGTGAGGTGAGAAAAATTTATTTTAAATTATTTGTGAAACAAGACTCCAACTTGAAGTAGTGTCACATGCTAGTGACAGTAATATATGGTTAAATGTTAAAAGGTCTCAGGATGAAATATTTGCAGGCAAGGAGCTCATTATAAGGGCTCACTTTTAAGGATGCCTTTCTTGTTTTCAGTTGTTTTAGCTAAAGTGTATCTACCTTACCACCTACATCTGCAGTTGTAAGTTCACCGACCATATAGGCAGGACATGAGTATGTTAAGAATAATGCAAAGGAAATAATACCCTGTTTTCTAAGCTATATTTCAGCTATTCTGCACAGCCACCCTGCAAATCTTTGTTCTGTACTGCTGCAAGCTCAGCCAAGGGCACTTTTGGCTCCATATTCCTTTCAGGCTAATCTGCTTGTCTCAAGAAGGAATTTGTAAAGCTTATACTTTCTAAGTCTCACAGTGATCTGTCAGATTTTCTTATCAGTTCTAGACATCAGTAACTCACTCTTTTCTGTGAAAATACCAGGAAAATAGTTTTGGGATTTGGGGTTAGTTGGTTGTGGAGGTGGTGTTTGGGGGGGAGTAGTTTCTTTTTCATACAGAAAAGAAGTGTGATAGATCCAGTAATACAATTCTAAAACTGTAAGCCAAAGCCTTCTTGTTAAAGCTCAGAAGATGCATTTAATGGTGTTCATGTTTTTTAATAGAAAATTATCATCGTATTTTGAAATACAGTGTGCCATTTGAGAAGAATCTCAGACTTATCAACAACTCTTGAGAATCGTGTCCTTTCTTTGAGGTTTTCATCTTATTTGTAAGCCCTTCAGAGCACATTTTTCATATAAAGGAAGTTGTAGTATTGTGTGTCTTATGAAGAACATTAGTCATATTCAAATTGTAAGCCTTTTGAGAAAGAAACGTCTGAATTATTCTGGGTCACTTTGTAATCTAAATCTTTGGATAAACCTTAGAGGCAATGATATGCAACTTTGATTTCTCATTAATTTCATTCTTCTACATTACTTAGTTCCTCTTTTACTTCTGAGTTTAATGTTTCCACCCAAATTCATTATGTGTTCCCTGTAAGTCATTATTAGAGTTTTCATAGATGCTCAAGTTTTTAATTTATCTACATAATCATGTAATAAAAGCCCAGAGACACTGAGATGCAACTTGCAGGAAATCATAGAAACAAGTGGACTTTCCCAGAAATTCTGATAGCCTGTTCTGCTTTATCACCTGAATTGGCATTGCCCCATTATGTTTGAAAACACTCCCATAAAAACCTCCATCTTTTGAAAGGTCTGATCATCCTCTATTATTTTAGAAGGATGGCTTTCATAGAAGACACTCTAAGAATACTCAAAGCTAATTTGAGGCAAGTTTCATATACTAAAATGAAAAACATATTTCCAAATCCTGCAATTTTTGGAGTCTTTTTCATTAGTAACTTGTGTTTTCTCAGCCTACCTTTGGAAACATGTTTAGTTCACAGTTCCCACAGGTTATGGGACAATTGTGGAGGGATAGATTTGGCACTGGAAGTCGGGAAATTCCCTGTCACTTACTTTTGTCTTTGACCTTATTTGTACCCTGAGAAACACAAAATATAGTGGAAGCTGCATAAACTACTTAGAGGTGTACTGTCCCTGCCTTTCATCCCTGTCCTGGGAAAAGGAGCCTTCATGCTTATACAAATCTTCATGGTAACTAGAAAAAGAATTTTTATCTCTTTACTTTTACACCTAGAGAAATGTTACTACTTTCTGTATTGCCTGATGATTTTCAATATTTCATATAATTTAATGAGGAAGAAAGATCTGAATCAATCCAAAGAGCCCAGTTATTAACAGATCAAAATTCTACATTGATTACTATTATGGATTTTTCTAGTTTCTTTCTTCAGTCAATACAATGCCTCTGTTCAAGACTTCAGATCCCTCAGGATGCTACAGACTGCTAATAAAGAATGACTGTGTAATTTAAAAAATAATTAATACAGTTCTAATTGCCTTCTGCCATTGCACAGAACTGTTGCTGAAGCCAAATAAATGGTCAGGTGGCCTTCCACTTCATTGACTAATCTCAGCTGGCAGCAGTGCCTGAGGTAGCAGTGATTTAAAGTCACAAGGCATTGCTCAATGCTTTCATAAACTCCACACTTCCGTGGTGCTCACTGATAAGTGCACTGCGGTGGTGGAAGGGGCATTCTAGCAGTTGCTCTGTTGCTTCCTCCAATAGCTTCTTTCTCAGAAATGTAGTTAACAAATTAAATGTAAATAGTTCCAATAGCCATTTTGGATGGATATTGGATTTAAAGTCCAGCTGGATATTGGACTTAGAGATACTTTGTTTTCTGCAGCTGAATGGGGTGAGTCCACTGTGTTGCCTGTCTGCCTGGGATGATATGCTAGCAGGTAACAGGAAATAAGGAATTAGATACTCCTACAGAGCAGGAAAAGAAGCCAGAGAGTGCGACAGTCCTGAAAAGATCTTTGAAAGCTACTTAGAGTGTGACAGCAAATAAATTAAAAGTAGGAAATCAGGCTAGACCTGATGTCTACTTTGTTGTCTAAAGCCCTTCATCATCTATAGCTTGGATTTCCCTGGAAGCTGAAGGAATATGAGTGCCTCAGCTGCTAAACTAGCAAATCTAAGAGTCCCCATGCAAGCTAAGAGAAGATCCATGATTCTAACCATGTCTGCAAAAGCAGGAGATGAGAGACCACACTGTGGGACCATGCAGGAATGGAAATTAGAAGGAAATTGTTCCTCTTCAATATTTAAGCCATGTTACATAGGACTCTGCATGCCTTACACACATCTGTTTACCACCTGGTAAACTGGTAGTGGTTATTTAATATGCATGATTCTTTAATACATCATTTCATGGCAGCTGATTTCCTGTTTTGCAAAGGTTTTACATGACTTTCTAATCAATTATTTCCTTCCATTTGCATTTTTACAATCTGCTTTCAGAAACATACTTCTACACGCAAGTCAGAAGCCACTACAATAACTAAAGTAAGAATCAGAAAAATAAATACCACTTGTTTTATGTATGGAAAAAGTTTTTTATATATCAGCAGAGGCAACACACAAGAACAACCCCCATAATTTGAGAATCCTGGTAGAGATGTCACAATGGAAAACTTAAATTACTTCAACCACTCATAATGGCAACTTGATGCACTGTTGGGATAAATTCTCATCACACATACTTTGTAAATGAAAGGTGCTTCCATCTTGGAGATGGCATCATATCTAGTGACGCTGATGATAACAAGTAGTTTTAGTGGTTTGCATTCCACCACACGCAAAATACCTTTAAAATAGCTTCTGCAATACTATTGCAACACAGATGCATTCAGATACTTCTTAACCTGATAAAATATCTAAAAGGGAAGTGCAAAAGGCTGTTATTAGAAGAATTTGATAATACTACACTTGCAGCATTGTGTTGCTTTTGTAATATTAATAGAAAATGTCATATTTCTGGGGAAATATGAAAAAAAAAAAGCATTTACTATTATGTGGTACTTCATGCAAGAGAGAGGTTGTACATGTTTAATTCTTAAGTGCACAAGCCTCCTTTTGTCCTAGTATTTTTATCTTTCCAGCTTTTTGATTCTGGTTTCTTTGCTATCTTATTAGAAAATTTTCCTTAGAATTTTTTATGTGTAATTTTAAAACTTTCTCAGAGACAGTTCAGTCACAGGCAATCTTCTTTGATGCTTTTGTATCATTCTTATTTCCTCCAAAACAATAAAATCAGAACTTCAGG